CTACTAGGGCCAAAGCAGGAGCCACAACCTGTGTTGCACGTCACCTACTTGCTTGAGGTCAGACAGCTCACTCTGTGGGACTGGGTAGGTCAGATGCTGGAGTAAACACAGGCCTGTCTGCAGCAATTCCTCCCTGCAGAGGCAGCCACCACCAGCTTCCTGCTGAGAGAGGCTGGTGCAGCCTTGCACGATGCAGCTGGAGATGGAAGGAGCAGATGGCCCTGTTGGCCCAGATTCTTGCCAGATTGCCAGGGAGGTGTGGGTGGAGTAGCAGTCTGTGCCAGGAGCAGGATGCCCAAGTGAGGAGGCCAGGAGCCACTTCTTTGCCATCTAGATGGGCTCTGCCTATGGAAGGGTAGAGAGCATTGGCTGCGTTCTCACCATGGTCCTTGAAACAGCATATGTCCAAGCTCCCAGAAAGACCACCTCAGTGACCGACTCTTGGGAACTGCAAGGTAGCAGTTGTGGTAGCCTTACCCCCAGCACCCAGGCCAAGGAGCCAGGCAGAGCTTAGTAATTGTTTTTTGTTTTTAGTTTCTTAATTAATGATAGTAGCTCTTGAATATTGTCTCACTTAATCCTGACAGCAAGGGAGACACTATTGAGGTCCCCACTCTATACAAGAGGATACAGGTCTTAGAGAGGAGGAAAAACTTGCTGAAAGTCACAGCTAAACTGAAACATGAGGATAAATGTGGCCCTCTGATAAGCTGACAGCCACACTTTGGGAGCCAGGGCTTTAGGGACAGGGAGCAGAGCTAAGAAGGGGCAACCAGGAGAAGTTGGTAGGTGTTGCTGGTGGGAGAGGAGAGCATGCCCCACTTGTCTTTGTCCTCCTTGTACCTTGGCTAAACCTTAGATCCCCGCCCAGCTTCCTCCATTGTTCGGGGTGCTCAGAGAGCAAAAGGTAAGCCTCACAGGTAGGGAGAGGGGACCTTGGTGTGGCTGACCAGGCTGTACACTGCACAACTCCAGGGCACTCCATTCACATAGGCTATGATGAGAACTGTGCCCTTTGGAATTGTGCCAGGTGGTAGCCCTGCAAGATCCCATACCACATGGGATCTTGAAGACCACGGATCTGTAAAGTTTTCTGTAAAGCGTCAGATAGCAAATACTTCAGGCTGTGCAGGCCATACAGTCTGTGCTGTAATCCTCAGCCCAGCTGTTGCAGGGTGAAAGCAGTCATAGGCGATATGTAAATGAATGAGCATGAATGTGTTGGGGTAAAACTTTATTTACTGAAATAGGTGGCCTGACAGATTTGGCCCATGGATCAGTTTTTCAGTCCCAGTGAAGTCCACAGAAGGATTCTGAACTCCATTCTGAGAGCAACGTGGAGTCATGAGAAGGTTTTCAGCAAGAATAAAGATAGCTGATTGACATTTGTCCCTGACAGATCCGTGTCCCCTCCGTACCTTACCCCAGGTAGCAGGGTTTCTTATGGCCTGTTTGTGGATCTTGGAGCCCTGCTCCTGGCAAGAAGAGGCTTGTCCTGAGGCCCAGGAGCCTCTGTTGTCCTGGTGGTTTCGGCAGAGGCCACTGCCATGCATTCTCCCTTTTACTCCTCCTCATGGTAGCTCTCAACTCAGGTCTAGACCCGCAGCATGGCTGCAGAAATGCTGGTTCCCATCCCTAGTCTCAGGGCCAGATGAAAGCAGGCCACTGGGCAGTATCCGAGGCTTGCAAATTAGAAAACCGGTCCCAGATTCCAGTTGCTCCATTTGACTATGTTTGCCTTGAACTATACTTTCCAGACCCTCCATCTCCCCTCCTGCATTGACCTGATGTGTAGGAAAGGAACAGGAAGAAGACTGTTGTTAGGAGCATCCATTATTTTGCTGAAGCCCAGAGGCAGGAGGAAAGCCTGGCGATGTAAGCCTGGCGATGTGCTGTATAGTAGGGATTTTGAGCTGGGCCTGCAGCCAGAATCTGGCCTCCCAGCTCAAGCTGGGAAGTATCACTGTTGAGGTGGCCTTTGCTCATACATATTAAGGATTCTTAGAGAAGGGGGTGATTTGTCCCACTTCTTGTGCTGAAAATAACTGCCCGACATCCGAGTAATTACATGACTTAGGCTCTGTGTAGCAGAGATCACCCCTATAATTGTTGTGCACAAACACTGCTTTTGGCAGCTGATGCTTATTTTCTGCCTCAAAGAGTCTTCACAGGAAGGCTTTCCACCACCCACCCTGTGCAACTCGCACCCTTACTTCACGGGACCAGAGACTTTCCGGCTACTTCTACTTCTCCGAAGGCCATGTGTTAGGCTCGGGATACCCCTGACCCATAGATAGGCTGGGCATGGTGATTGATGGCTTTGACATAATCTCCTAACATAGTTCTGCATCTGGGACCAGGTACTAGGTCACCCACATTCTGTGTAATGGACCTGTGGACAATACTCTATTGATGGAGTCCTGTGGAGTTGGCACCAGAGTGGTGGTCTGTGCTGCTGAGAGAACATCTTGTCACTTTAAACTGAGACAAGGGATTGCCATTTGGGTCAAAGTTCTAGCAAATTTCTTGAGGACATACTGTGAACCAGGCCTTAGGGGCACAGCCATAAATACCATAATTAGGAACATTAGGGACAGAGCCATAAATACCAGATTGTGATCCTACCTTGTTGTGACTTAGTGTTCAATGGGCAGACAAACCCAAAGATTATAATTATCCACATGGTTATGTAATTATAATTATGATAAGACTATAGATGATATGAATAGAAGGCATGGGGCATGGGGGAATTTGAGTTGAAACTAAAGATAAGGAACAAGGCAGGTATGTGTGTGTGTGCATGTGTATATATATGTACATACATGAATGTTAGAGATGGGTACATAGAAGATGGTGGTTGGATGGATGAGTGGATGGATGAATGGTTAAATGCATGAATGGACAGTTGATTGAGTGTTCCAGCCAATAGGATTGGACCATCCAAAAAGCATAGAGGTCAAAGGTGATGACTGTGACTGACAAAAAACATGCAGAAAATGTTTGCAGTCAAGGAAGTGAGGCTGGAGAGGCAGGCAGATAGGCTTGCTGGGTATGGGTCAGTAAACTGTATGTTGCCCACGTCCAGGAGGTTCCAGTCTTCCAGAGCTCTGTGGATGCTGGATTGGGCAGGATGGTGAACTATAGGCAGGGATCACATCATGCAAGACCTCTTACGCCCTGAGAATGGTTTTGGACATTATTCCCCAAACAATGGGGAGCCAGGAATAGGTTTTAGCAGTTTGCAATGGATTAATTTCCATTTTAATACCCCATAGTAACACTGTACAGAGAACTTCTTATGGAAATGTTCCATTCCTGTGCTTTCCAATATGATAGCCATACTGAGCACAGAGTGACTGAGAGACTGAATTTTGAATGTTTACTAGCCACCATAGCCAGAGGTAGCTTCTGGCTCATATTGGAGAGTGCAGACCCTCCAAGAGTCTGTCTCTTACTGGACCAAGTCCTACCGCTCCTGACCACCAGCAGCAACGTGACTTGGGAAAGTCTGCTGGAGGCAGCACACTGACGGGGTGGAGCCTTGCCTCCTCTTCGCATGGCCACCCAGGATGCAGTTGGGGCTGGGGCCTGAAACGAGCTAATGATCATGGAGCTGGGATGTTGTCCCCCAATCCCCACTGCTCCTGAAACCCTGTGAAATCCCCTACTCCTCATCAGTGTCTTTTCCCTGGTACCATGGGGTTGCTGGCTGACTTTTGTACAGTGGAGAAGGTAGTCTTCTCCCTGCCCTTCCTTCCACAGATGCACATGGATGAAGAAACACCATGAGCCATGATGCGGAGACCGTGTCCACCATGGGCATTTGGGGATGTGGATTTGGCTCCTGTTTCAGAGGGAGGGGGGTTGGCAGAGCTGGTAGGAGGCTGACAGGAGATGGAAGGGGCTGGACCCAACTGCTCTCCCTTTGCAGTGCACAGGCCTCTAGCCCTGCTGCATCAGCACGGTGACCTGAGGGCGTCACACACCAGCCAGCCTGTGGATCCAAGTTCATCTGCTGGGCCCACAGGCAGCTGACCCCTGTTCACCGCTGTGGTCTAGAGGTGCACTTGCTGATTACCTGCCCAGTCCAACCTTGGGACTCGGAAACCCAAGGGAAGAATTGGACAGGGAGAGACAAGGAAAGTTTAGGGATTAGGTGAATAGGAACCTAGGGGTGAGAAAAGCCGGTGAACCCCAATAACACCTTAGCATAGGACAAGCCCTGTCTCCTACCACTGGTTAGGCACTGCAGGACTTGGAGAGTGGCTGGGCCCTAAGGGGGAGGAATGCTGGCCCCATATATGCATCACTCTGGGGGGCAAGCCCAGCTGGAGGCTGACCAGAGGAGGCCTTTAAGAGGCTCAGGGCCAGACTGCTTCCCCCCCTCCATCTCTCACCCTTTCTCCATTTACCCCTATCCCCTAGGACTAAGCAGAGTCACAAAAGGGGCATGTCACCTGAAGGATGAGCCACCATCTGCAGAGACCTGCAGAATTAATAAGTCACAGCTTCCATAACCAGTCTCTCCTGGGAAACTAGTACCAGGCACTGTGCTGAGCCCTAGGCATGGCTGACATCGGTTATGCCATGGGCCCCTGTGTTAGGTAGGATTAAACATCAGCCTCATTTGGCAGATGACAAAACTGCCAAATGGGAGGGAACTGGCTTGAGCACATTGCCCAGATGTTAAGAATGGGATCACTGGACTCAAGAGGGTAAATGTGAGGGACTACAACATGCTCTCTGGAAAGCCAGTAAAAGCCCAAGAGCAGTGCCTTGCATGGGCACTTCCTGTCTTACCCTTGAGACAGCAGGCAGTGACATCTGCTTCTTGGAAATCCTGGTCAAAAACATATATGTCTTAATTTTTTCATCTGTAAAATGGGAAAGGTGTTACTACTTAACCTCAGAGGTCAGGTGTCAAGACTAAGCAAGAACACTTGTGCCAGAGCCTTGTGTGTGTGTGACAGGCATCTCACTGCTGTCCCCTCCTGTTACAGTGCGCTACTTCCTGAAGAATAAGGTTAGCCCTGATTTGTGCAATGAGGATGGACTCACAGCCCTGCACCAGGTAAGCTGGGTTCACTGTAGGGGGGGCAGCATCCTGCTCCCCACCTGGACGGGTGCCCTGTTCTGCTGCACTTTCCTGCCCAGAACCCTCAGGGCCGAGGGAGGGTGAGTCACAGGTGACCCATCTGAAAGGCTCTCATCTGCTTCAGGGGCACAAGTGTTTCTCATGCACATGTCCGTGGAGCCCCTGTGCGTGCACACACACACACACATGCACACACACACTCACACATACGTGTGCAGAGCAGGTTCCAGGGACAGGAGCCTTTGTTAACTGTATCCCTGCTGCCCAGCAAAGCAATTCTGCTTGGAGCTTGACATTTGACAAGCACATTCACACCCACCAGGTCATCCCACCCACCCTGATGACAAAGGTGATTAACACAAAGGTCACATGGCCATGAACCAAGCACTGTCATAACACATAGCCTTTTAAGGGCAGCATGATGGTCCCACCTTCCCTAGCTGGGGACAGGCTGTTCTGGCTGTCACCTCTTGCATGGATGATTCCTCCTCCTCTGCAGCCTCCTAAGTGTCCCCAGCATTCACTGTGGTCCTTTTAGCCACGGATGTTGAAACGTAAAACCTCAAGTTTGTGCAAAGCTCTGGTGTCTTCTCACACTGCTGGGGGCCAGGGGGATTCAACCTGTCCATCCCGACCACCACCACAGGCGGCATCTCACCCATGGCCTGCACATACTGAGCACTGACTGCTCTGTTCTCTGCGGGGAACAGGGTCCCAGAAATGAGTTAGGCAGTGTCCTGCTCTAAGTTCATGGTGTGTTGTGATCCCAGTGTATAAATAACAAAAAACGCAATGCAGTGTGATCAGGGTTCATACAGAGGGATGTGGCTTTATGTGGCTTGAAGCTGAAAGTTGATGAAGTACCTCAAAGGCAAACTGAGAAATGCTTCCAAGAGGAAGGGCATCTGACCTGGGTCTTGGAAGGGTGAGTAGGAGTTTGCCAGATAGAAAGGAAGAACATTCAAAGCAGAGCAGATAACATTAAAGAGGCATGACAAGGAGGTCAGCCTTTCAAGCCTGGAGTCTGAGGAGTCAATTGATTGTGGCATCATCAGTATGCAAGGAGCCCCAGGGGAACAGCAGGAGGCAAGACTGGAAAGGTTGATAACAGGGTGTCAGCTCCTCGTGAGTTTGAATCTATAGAGGACCTTCATCTTTCCTTGCTAGGTGACTCTCTGGACCATGGGCTCACTGAGCCGGTTTCCCTTTCTATAAAGTAGGAATAAGAGGATCCTCACAGGCTTGCTGTAATGATTAAGTACAGCAGTGCATGGCCAGAGCTTTGCAAGGTGCCCAGCTTGAGGGAAGCCTCAAAGAGCGTTGACTTTTCTTCGTGACAGGGGCTGTTGCTGTCATTGTTAGTGTCGCCACAGCTCCATTACAGCCAGGATCCTCTTCTGTTTGGCCCCGAAATATGGATGGGCTACTCTGCCTTCCCGATCCGCAGACAGAGCAAACGCGATTAATGACCGGAGGAAGCGCTCTCTGGGTTGGGTGTGTGGAAGGGGAGGCAGGCAGAGAAGATAGGGCCTCACCCAGGAGAGTAGGGATGAGGGGAGGGACTTAGGAAATGGAGCCACAGCAGGAGGAGTCAGCCTGGGCCAGTGCAGGGCCTGCCCATCCCTCCAAGGGTGTCCTTGCGCCCACCCCTGACCTTGCTGAGCTGCCTGACTCAGACTCTGCAGCTCTGGACACTCAGCCCCAACCCCTTCCATATGAGCTTTCCATCCCACCTCCATGTTCCCTGAGGCCTCTAAGAGTGGCATCTTTAGTCTTCAGTCTCCCAGTTGCCCAGGCGCATCTTCAGTGACAGCCAGGAGAGCCTTCCTGTTCTACCCTGGCCTGTGCCTTTGGTGCCCCCTGGTGGCAGTGTCATGCATGGCTTTCTGGTCACCTGAGACAGCACCTGCCCAAATCCCATCTTCTCCTGCCTGTCCAGAGATACCTTCAGACCTGGCCACCCAAAGACTGGCTGACTCAGAAAGAACACGGGTCCCTGGCACCATCTGTGCCATGCTCCTTTCCCACGTGTCCTTCTGGCGCTAAGCCCTGGCTCACAGGGAGTATGTGGGGGCTGTGGTGCCTCCTCCCACAGCCTCGCCTATGCCTGTGCCCTCTTGTGACCTTGGACTCACACCTACTACTGGCCTCCAACTGCTGCTCCCCATCCCGAAAATCTTTTCTGTAGGCCAGGCCACTGTCATCCTTTAACTAGATGACCTCAACTCAGCTTCTCCCACTGTGGGCGTGTACACACACACACACACACACACACACACACAGATGCATGCATGCACACACGCAATCTGTTCTCCACATGGAACGAGCAGAGCAGTTTTAAAAACAAGTCTGAGTGTGCTTCTTTTCTAAGGCTAGCTCTCCAGAGACTCCCATTGCTCCAGAGACCAAGCTTATGCCTGGGTGGGCAGGGCTGAGCCCAAGTCCCCTATTGGCTTCTGCAGAAGTCATCTCTAAGGCAGGTCCTGCACCCTGGACCCTGTGAAGTGCCCCCGTCTTTCTCTGCTGTCTTTGTCTTATGTCCCTGGCTGAGGTCTCAGTGTCCTCAGAATAATTTTTCACTCCTGATCCTAGAATTTGGGGGCTCTTGGATTCCCGTGTTGTTTCTGGGGTGGAGCTCCTGCCTGCTCACTGGGGCTCACCCACCTGTGGTCACTGCTCCATGCAGGTGGGAACACAAGTGTGCTGTCTCCTAGCAGGGATAGTATCAGGATCCCTAAAATCTGCAGCTGCATTCTGGGGGGAATTGTGGGTCTTCTCCAAGAAGTGTGCTCCTGGGTCAGAAGCTCTTGAGTCAGAGAGTTCTTTTCTTGGGTTCTTGTGGGGAACCTGGGATGTGCCCTGGGGCCCTGTCTGGGCTCACTCTGCCTCTGTCCCTCCCAGTGTTGCATTGACAACTTTGAGGAAATCGTCAAGCTGCTTCTCTCCCATGGTGCAAATGTGAACGCCAAGGACAACGAGCTGTGGACGCCTCTGCATGCTGCAGCCACCTGCGGCCACATCAACCTGGTGAAGATCCTCGTCCAGTAGTACGTGCCTGCTCACCCCCAGCACCGCCTCCCACTGCTCTGTGCCTTCTCAAGTACACTGCTCCTTTCTTCTTTCCTCCCTCCCTCCCTCCCTTCCTCCCATTCTTCCTCCATTCTCCCCTTTCATTGTGTTTTCTCACTGGTGCTCTATGTTTCTGTTTATACCTGTCTCTGTCTCCTCAGAATCTCTCCATATATCTCTTTCTGTCTCTTGCAATCCTTCTGCCTCAGTCTCCTGAATAGTTGAGATTATAGGCATGTGCCACTGTACCCAGCCCAATTTTCTTATTGTGGGAAAAATATATATTTCTATAACAAAATTTATATAGCAAATTAAACAATTTCTTTTTTGCACTGGGGATCAAACTCAAGACTTGGCACTTGCCAAGCAGGCACTTACGCCACTGAGCTAAACACTTGGCCCTAAATTTAACAATCTTAACCACGTATACAACTCAGTGACACCAAGTATAACTTTGTGGTGCAACCATTACCACCATCCATCTCAAGAACTCTCTTCATTTTGCAAAACCAAAACCCTGAACTCATTAAACAGTAACTCTTCCCGTTCCCTTCTACACCCTGCCTCTGGCAATCATGATGTTACTTTCTGTCTTTATGAATTTAACTACTCTAAGCACCTAATATAAGTGGAATCATATAGTGATTGTATTTTTGTGACTGGTTTATTTTACTTAGCATAATATCCTCAAGGCTCATCCGTATTATAATGTATGTCAGAATTTTCTCCCTTTATAAGGCTGATTATTATTCCATTGTGTGTATGTCATTTTTTATTGTGTATGTGTGCCTGCCACATTTTGCTTACCCATTTGTTTATTAATGGACACTGGAGTTGGTTCCATGTTTTTGCTATTGTGAATTATGCTGCCATGAATATGGGTTTACATATGATTTCTTTGTGTCTCTCTGCTCTAAGTTCTTTGAAGGTATAATCTGGAAGTATACTTTTTTGAGGAGCTGCTATGCTGTTTTCCATAGTGGCTCTTCCAGCTTACATAACTGTCAGCATTGCCCAAGGGTTCCATTTTGGAAAATCCTCACCAATGCTTGTTATTTTATGAGATTTTTTGCTTGCTTGCCTGTAGTCTACCTAATGAGTTTTCTACACACCGTATATTGTCTTCTAACCATTGCATTGTCTCCATCAAAATTCATTTAATATATATGCAAGTATTTAGTTTTGGGTAGACTCTGTTGGCCTATTTGTCTGCCATTATGCCAGTACAACACTCTTTTTGGTTTTTTGAGGCAGGGTCTCACTATGTAGTCCAGGCTGGCCTTGAACTCACTATGTAGCTCACATTGGCCTTGAACTCACAGCCTGCCTCCTGCTTCAGCCTCCCAAATGCTGAGATTACAGGTGTGCACCACTGTGCCCAGCTGCAACTGACTTTTTGTTTAACACTTTTCTTACTAAATTAAATTTAATAACTAGTTTTAACAATTTTTTGTGTGGAATCTTTAGGGTTTCCTACATATGAGACTATATCATCTGTGAGGACAGATAATTTTCTGTCTTTCTTTCCAATTTGGATGCCTTCTAATTCTTTTTCCAGCTCCAGATCTGTGTTAGCCAGGAGGTGATGAAAGCAGGTATTCTTGCTTTATTTCCAATCTTAGAGGAAACACTTTCAGCCTTTCAGTGTTGTAAATGTCTCTTATTTGTTTTCCATAAATGGAATGTTTTTTTTTTTTTTTTGAGGTCGTTTCCCTTCTTTATGTGACCCCCCACACACACACACACCTTGAACTCACAAGGTAGCTCAGGCTGGCCTCGAATTTGCAGTGATCCTCCTGCCTCCCAAGTGCTGGAATTAAAGGTGTGAGCCACCATACCCAGCATTTTCCCTGTAAAACTACAAAAACTTGAGTGCTTTTATCATGAAATAGTGTTGAATTCTGACAAATTTTATGTGTCAATTGAGTTAATCATGTGATTTCTCTCCATTCTATTAATGTGGTATATTACATTGATTTTTGTATGTTAAACCATCTTTGTGTCCCAGGAATAAATCCTGCTTGTTTATTGTGGGATTCTTTTAATACCCATTTTTTTTATATGTTGTTGAATTTGGTTTCCTAGCATTTTGTTGAAGTTTTTTTTTTCTTGAGACAGAGTCTCACTGTGTAGTTCTGGCTGGTCTGAAACTCACTTTGTAACGCAGGCTGGCCTCAAACACAGAGCAGTCTTTCTGCCTCAGCCTCACCAGTGCTAAAACTACAGATGTGGACCCCCACATCCAGCTTTGTATCAATGTTCTTTAAGGTTTTGGTGTGTAGTTTTCTTATGTTTTTTTGTCCAGCTTTAATATCAAGATATTGTTCTCTTTTATCTCTTTTTCTGCAATCTTGTCTTCATCTGTGCTATTCCATTTGTTGTTGCTATTTTTCTTTGTTTTTTAATGTATTGTTGCTATTTTTTTTAATTTATTAAAAAATCAAGTGTGCTTCCTTGTTCCTAACCCAAATCCTCTCCACATGCTTCCATTTAAGACAAAGACCTGAGACTCCCCAAAACTCTTGCTAGACTTCTTGAATTCTATAAGCATACAGAAAAAGCAGTTTTCAATTTCATGTGTATTCAGTTGAATCCAGCTAAAATTGGCTGGTGTCTGCACTGGGCTGGGCCCTGTGTTGGGCAGTGGACACACAGGAGGATACAAAAGTCTGAGGGAGCCAAGTGAGAACTCAGAGAAGAGACAGAGCAGCCATGCCAGGGGGCTGGTGTCCCCAGAAGCCAAAGAGAACAGCAGGTGTGGGGAGTCAGGAGGGATGTATGAGAGCATCTAGGCAACCTGTGTGCTCCTTTTCCAAGTGTAGGCAAAGCAGCAGATGCTCATTGAGTGGCTCTAAAAGGCAGAAACTAAGAGAATGGTACTGCTGGTCTGGCTTCCAAGGGAATACAGGAGCTCAGAGAGGTCATAACAGAGGACTGTCAGGCCAGAAGACAGTATGGTGGCCCATGGCTATGCCTTATGAACCCGAGCAGAAGCATCAGGTAGCCACAAATAATCAGCAGCGGTACCCAGAGGGCAAAGGGAGTGGTGCTGGCCTGGTCAGTGGTTCCTGAGTGCTAATCTTTACCAGAATCACTTATGTGGTGTGTGTAAAGTATGTATTCTCAGGTCCCGCTCCAGAGTCTGCTTCATGTGATTGTAGAGAAGCCCAGGGACCTGTGTTTTATTTAGTGGTCTCCCAGTATTTCGGTTGTGGGGCACCTTACGGTGAAGCTTAGGTGTGCCTGGCTCAAAGGGCAAATTCTCCTAGGGCGCGTCAAGTCTCTGTTCTGCCCGTCATGCCCGACTTTTGGGACTTGGGGGACTTGGGGAAAGATGTGTCTACACACAGATAAAGACTGACATAAAATGTGGAGTGAGAAGAGCTGACATAACCTAGGTTTGAGTCTTGACCCTACCAAATCCAAGCTGTGACCCTGAACATGTAACAGAGCCTGTTTGAGTCTTTGTTTCCTCTGGAATGAGATGGGACCACACTGCCACACATGGGAACAGTTGTGACGACTGAATAAAGTGATGTGTGTCAAGGGCTTGGTGCCAGCAAATGTGCCTATAGAGTAGTGCTGCTGCTGTTTATATTAGCCTTATTACTGTTACCAGGAAGGACATGTGTGTCCCTGTCTGCCTAACTGCTGCTTTACAGAGGAGGAAGCCCAGGGAGATCTCCTATGATGCCTCTTGTGGGACTTAGGTATCCTCCAATGTGGGGACTCAGGGTACTGAAGCCACTGTGCTGATGGGCACAGCTGGGCATCACTTTGCTGGGGTGCACCACGGTGGGTGCAGATGCTGAGGTGTGTGATAGGGCTGAGAGAGAAAGCACAGGGCAGAGGCAGCCAGAGCAACCTTAGCCACCCTACCTGGTTTTCACCCTGATCCTCTCTCTGCAGTGGGGCTGACTTGCTCGCTGTCAACTCCGATGGGAACATGCCATATGACCTCTGCGAGGATGAGCCCACCCTGGATGTCATCGAGACCTGCATGGCGTACCAGGGTAAGGGAGGGAGCCCCCTTTAAAGTGGGCATAGTACAGTATTGCAGTGTCACATAAACGAATACAATGAGTGTCACGTTGGCTGGCTATGTGCCTCCCCGCCTGGCACTCAGCCCCCATAAATGGGATAGGTCCACTTTATTGTCATTATCTGTGTGATTGACAAGATAAGCACATGAAAGGACCCTGGAAAACATGCAGAAGGGAGGTATTGTTCTCATCTCTGTCACCCACACATGCAGGCGGCCTCAGCTGGCCTAGTCTCCTCTTCGTCAGCTGTGACAATTCAATTTGATAAACATTCACCATAAAGACGTAGCCTCATTTGGGAAAATAGTAGAAAGGCAAGAACATTCTTCAGTGCTGCACTGTGCCAAGCACTAAACTCACTGCCAGAGACCCAGATAAACAAGATAGGGGCTGTTCTTAGCTCAAAATGAGGTTTAGCGAGAAAATAAACGTAGTCATGAGAGACCCGCCAGCCCAGTATCGCACAGTCATGCCCGCGAAGTGTCTCCTTCTAAATAGGTCTCAAGTTCAGGCCTTCAGCTGCACCCTGAGGTCCTGCTCTGGCCCATGTCTTGTGTCCCTGTTCCCCTCCAGATTGCTGTGATCACTGCCAATTGGTCTCCTTGTCCCCTGCTGCCTAAGCTTTTCCTATTCCTTTCTGCTGAGATCCTTAACAATTTGGGGCTGATCTGGTGAATCGATGGCTCCCTTCCCAGAATGCTTTTCAGTATAGTTTTAAAATGGTGGGTATGGTGGCCATGCACGTAATCCCAGAACTCAGGAGTCTGAGGCAGGAGGATCACTGTGAGTTCAAGGCCAACCCAAACTGTATAGTGAGACCCCGTCTCAAAAACAAACAGATGGGATTATAAAGAAAGCCAAATTATATTAAAACAAATCTATCAAAATATGTTTAAATGTATTAGAAGCTTCATTAAGTTGTGAAACAATAAGATAACACAAGACGAAAACATCTATGGATTCTGTTAGTGAAAAACTCACAGGCCTTGCTAATGCTCCTGTAGGTTTTGCTTACATGCTAGTGGTGAGAAATGCTGAATTTCATTTAGTGTCAAAGTAAACGTGTACCACCCGTACATTGTGTTTCTGCTTTAAAGTTTATAAACCTTCCCTGAATTCTATCCAAGGGTGCTAAATCTAATGAATCTTTTTTATAGAGCATATCACCCTCTCCTTACATACAATTAGTAGCTGTCAGTGAAAGTGTAATCATGGATTCAGGTTATAAAATGTCTTTCTGGGCCCCTCTGCCTTAATTTACCAAACTCCATTTGAAAGTAATATATCCATTTATTCAATAATTTCCACAACAAAAATGCATTAGTATTGTGCCTGGTTCTGCAAACCTAGGCACAGAGCAGCTGAAGGAAACCAAGAGAGACTGAGGATAGCCAGCGGAGGCCAGCTGGGGAGGAGATACGAGCCATTTGAGCAGCTAGAGGTGGATAGGTAGCTAAGGTAGGGCTTCCAGGTGGGAGAGAAACAGGCACACAAATGACCAAGATTCACATAGTGTCTACTGGGTGGCAGGCAAGGTCGCCCCTCAATCAGTGAATCAATGCATGCTGCTTGTGTTTATCAGGCCTCGGGGACCATGACCTGGGTCCCCTTTGGCTGGCAGGCCTTGGGGAGCATGAGCTGTGTCTCCTCCATCTGCTTTTCTCTCTCTTCTTGGGACTTAGGCCTGAGAATGCTGAACAAATCCTCTCTTTCCCACTGCAGGCATCACCCAGGAGAAAATTAATGAGATGCGGGCTGCTCCTGAGCAGCAGATGATCACCGACATCCACTGTATGATTGCAGCAGGCCAGGATCTTGACTGGATAGACGCCCAGGGTGCCACACTGGTGAGGAATGGGACAGGCTGGTTTGAACTGGGGACAAGTACCAAAATTCAGACCAGCTGAGGCTGACATGGAGCAAGCCTTGGTGGGTCCAGGCCTATGTAGTTAGGGCTTTTCTGTTACCTTGAACCTCCTCCCGATCTCTTTTTGGCCTGGGCCCCCCCTGCAATGTGGTAGGTTAGCAGAGTAAGGTTCAATCTTTTGGGGACCCTGGCAGCTCTCACCTGGGGCTGGGAATTAGGACCCCTGGATGGGAGGCTTGGCTCTGTCACCTATCTGTTCCATTTCCAGGATCATGCCCATTTTGGATGTTATTTCCCCATCCTCCAATGATGTCATCCCTCAAGGACTGGTGCCACTATTTATCTCCTCACCCATGCCATCTGGCTTAGAATGTGCTTTCCCCTGCCTGGTGTGCCTTCCCCCACCCCTACTGCCTTTCCTCTTCATCTCTTCTTAATACTGCTTCAGCAGTCTTTTCCCTGAGTTCCCTGACTTCAGAATCCATCCATCCATCCATCCATCCATCCATCCATCCATCCAGTTAACATATAGGGATATGAAAGCACTTCCTTCGTACCACATACTTTATTGGATCTTAAAGACAGAACAGCGGAGGCTTCTTACGCCTCCAATCTGCCTGGTTAACTCTACTCACCTTTAAGCCCGTGTCGGTGACTTGGGGAAATGTCTTGGCCATTGCCTTCTAGGTTTTCTTAGCATACTACTACTCAGTACAGGGCAGCATCTGCTTCTGGAGCCTCTATACTGAAGACAAGAACATAGTGAGCTTAGAAGCCCACCCTTTGAAGCTGAGTGCTACCTTAGGCTTAGGCTCTATGCTGGCCAGCAGTCCCAGGCCTCAAGTTTAGCATATAGGGCACGGCAGTTCCATTCTCTTTACTGTCCCCAGGCCTGATCATATGGCCCAGGTATAATAACAGGGCTATCTCCTCCTGGCTCCTGAGCTCTGATCTTCATGCCCATTTCTGTTTTCTGGGTCCCTACTTGGATCACTTTTCAACTCAACTTAAAGAATGGAGTCAGAAAGCTGGGTGTGGAATTACATATGCCTGTAATTCCAGCCTTCTGGGAGGATGAGGCAGGAGGATCATTAGGTTAAGCCCTGACTACGCAGTTTAGCAGCTTAGAGCATATGTAGAAGCAGCTTTGGAAATCACAGACTTTACACTCTCGTTTGTTAGAAGTCAGTCACTCAGTTTGGTCTCTATTGAAGCGGAGAGCATCAAGCTCCACCTTTCAAGGAAAGATGGTAAAATAATTTGTAAACATACTTTTAGACCACCATATGAGACATCTGGAACCCCTTCCCCAGAGCTCAGCATACAGTAGGGGAACCACAGGGGAGAAGAGCTCACCTCTCTGCCTTCCAGGTTGATATTTGACTTAGTAATTCCCTGCAACTCAGCTGGTGTTTCCATCTCACTATCTTTCATTCTGCTGACCACAAGGGCACTCTGGGATGTGGCTAGGGGTGAAGGATATCTTGCCTCCAAGTGTGGGGCCAGGCCCCCTAGGAAATGCTCACTTGCTTCCTCTGTTCCAGCTACATATAGCCGGAGCCAATGGATACCTGCGGGCAGCTGAGCTCCTCCTGGACCATGGAGTGCGTGTAGATGTGAAAGACTGGGATGGCTGGGAGCCCCTACATGCTGCTGCCTTCTGGGGACAGGTAGTTCACAGCTATGGACCTGCAAGAGAGGCTAGCGTGGGATGAAATTGCTGTCACCAAACCCTTGGGCTGGTAGTTGGTTCAAAAGAACATAAAACTCACTTAAGATATTGACTATAGCGAGCTTGTGAGATATGAAAAGGCTTGGGAGATATGCAAAAATGTTTAGTTGTTTCTTAAAGGTATGATTATCAAATTTGCCAAATTAGAAGTTTCCCAGCATTTCTGCTTTGAGAAGTTTCTCCATTTGTTTCCTATATATAATTAAAGCTTACACAGTTCCCTTCCTTAGACACCTAACAGCTCTGGAATCACAGCCAACTCCTTCTTCTTAGCGCCCGCGGCACCCACAAGGCAACCTGGTGGTGTCAAGCCCATTACATCTTCCAGAATTCTTCCATGGCTTGAGGGTGTAAAATACTCCCTGGGAATCAGTTTTGGCCCACTATTCTTTAGTTCACATTCTAAGAGGCCTTGAGGCCAAGTCCAGTTGTTCATGTCTATAATCCCAGCTACCCTGAAAGCTGAGGCAGGAGGGCAATGAGTTCAACGCCAGCCTGGACAACACAGTAAGGATCTTATCTCTAAACAGAGTGAAACAGCACAATAAACTTGTTGGGTCTGGGGATATGGCTTAGCAATAGAGTATTTGCCAAGCAGCTCTTGGTTCAATCCCTAGCATTCAAAACAAAACAAAACAAATAAACAACTGATGGGATTTGGGCACTGTATCAACCTCCTAGGCGTTCTGAATGCTAGCTGAGAAAACATGGACTTCTTGTGTTTCAGATGCAGATGGCAGAGCTGTTGGTGTCCCATGGGGCTAGTCTCAGTGCCAGGACATCCATGGATGAGATGCCAATAGGTAGGTCCAGCACCATACCTAGTATATACACTCATCAGTCTTTTGATAGGTGAAGGGATAAGTAAATGAATGTATGGCTGGGTAGTGATGGACTGGTATATAGAGAGTTGAATGAATGAATAAATTGATGGGTGGTAGATTAGTGCACAGATGGATGAATGAATGGATAATGACAGATGGATGGATGGAGTAGATGAGTAGATATGATGGATGGATAATAGATGGATGAAGGGAGGATAGATAATTGGATTGGTGGGCAGAGGATGAGCCTATGGATGAATGACCAGATCAGCAAATAAGTGGATAGATGAATGAAGAGAGTAGGTAGATTGGATGGTGGGCTTGTGAGATTTCTCAACCTCTGCATAATTTCTTGCTTAGGCTACCTAGATGGGGTACCCACTTATTTCACTTTAGACTTTGCATTTATTTATTTTTAACTTTTGCTAGTACATGTTTGCAGTATATAATGATTGTATTCATCGGGAGTTGTATGTGTACATAACACATCTTAATTCTACTTCTCCTCCTTTTCCCTCCCACTCTTCTCCCTGTATGTCTTGTTCCTGAGAATTGATGATTCTCCCAGAAACTGTCAAAGAGAAACATAAGTCCCTTGGTCCTAGCTGGGAACCTTGGGTGTTGTAACTGCATGGAATCTGGATTTTCTATCCTCTCACTCCTGTAACGATGTACTTGCAGCCAGGAAATAAGACTTGTGTTTTCCCCCACCCTGTGTACCTCCAAAGAGTCTTAAAGCTTCCAGAGGGTTGGGGTGACACACCCTCTGGTCACAGCCCCATGCCCTATCCCCACTACTGACTTCTCTGTCCCTCAGACCTGTGTGAGGAGGAGGAGTTCAAGGTCCTACTGCTGGAGCTCAAACACAAGCATGATGTGATCATGAAGTCACAGCTGAGGCACAAGTCGTCCCTGAGCCGGAGGACATCCAGTGCAGGCAGCCGTGGGTGAGTCAGGGGCAGAGCATCCATGGGTCCCCCTGCCTGTACCTGCTCTGGTACCTGGGCACAGGCTTCCAGCACCCTCTCTGTCCCCTCAGGAAGGTGGTACGTCGAGCCAGCCTGTCGGACAGGACCAACCTCTACAGGAAGGAGTATGAGGGGGAGGCCATCCTGTGGCAGCAGCGGAGTGCAGCCGAGGACCAGCGCACTGCGACCTACAACGGGGACATCAGGGAGACCAGGACAGACCAAGAGAATAAGGACCCAGTGAGTGACCTCATGCCCTGGTCCAGTGTCAGCTGCTGAGTTGGGAGGAGGACAGGGTGCACCCTGGTTTTGGCTTCTCATCTGAGAACCTTCTGAGGGAAGTAGCTGGCCCTGGCAGCTGGCTGTGTCCGATGGTGGTAGCTAGTGTAGTTAATGAGGTGACTTTGGGGCATGTCAGAGTCAAAGCCAGGAGCTTTCACATGCAAGGTAAGGGCGCATCTCATAATTGACAGAGTGGCTGTCACGTGCCTCCCATCAGATGTGGGTTCTGGGCTTCCCAGAAGAGAGGTTCAAGAAGGCAGTTACCCCAAGAGCTAAGGACATTAAAATATTTTGCAGGAAATAAAGCAAAATATGAGAATGATGTTTATCAGACTACATCTAATTGGAAGACATTTGCTGAAACACTGAGTGGGCTGTTGGGAGGACCTCTGATAAGCCTGTGCAGGAGTAGCCTGCAGAGGTCCGGGCTTTGCAGTATTTTTCTGAGAGGGTGCATATTTATTTCCTGTGGCTATTGTGACATAGGGTGGTGGTTCAGGTGTTCTTGGCTTTTGTCAGCATGAATTCAATCTCTGCCCCTGTCTTCAAAGGCATTCTTCTTGCATCTGTGTCTGTTTTTCTTGTTTTAATAAGGAGACCAATGGATGGAGTTTTCCTCATCCAATAGGACCTTATCATAATTCAACTAATTACATATGCAAAGAACCTAGTTTCAAATAGTCACATTCAGAGGTTCTAGGTGAACACAAACTTTTGAGGGAGATGTTTGAGCTCAGTTTCAACACAATCAGGTTCACACACAGGTGCTTTCTTACTGGATGGGGAGAAAAAGTTTAGAGCCAGAGAATTACCAACAAGAAAAGGGGAGAGGCAAGCTCTACCTGGTTCTCTCCTCACAGATGAACAAGATGAACAGATAAAGATATTCTAGAGGCTATTGCTTAAATAAGATGATTAGCTGCCCTAAAGGCCTGTAGTGGGCCCCTGCTTCCCAGTGGGCACAGGGAGGTCACTCACAGGCTGTCTCATCTGCAAGAGTATATGTGCCTGTTAGGAGCCTGCCCATCAGAGCCAAAGCAGCCTGGTATGGAGAGGGTTTGCGGAAAAGCTTTGTTCTTTCATCCCTCAGCTTGAGAGGTAGGGAGGAAAGACCTGTGGATGAAAACATATCTCAGAATCCTCCCAAGTATGGTTTACTTATTTATTCTTTGTGATTCAGGCACATCTTCTGTGTGGTGTGTTACCTGTCTTAGTTACTTTTCTTGTTACTGAGACAAAATATCTGGCACTGAAAGTTAAAGGAGGAAAGGCTTGGTTCAGCTCAGAGTTTGAAGAGATTTCAGTCCTGGTTTGTTGGCTCCAAGGCAGGGAGGCCTGACAGAGGGGTCTCACAGAGGAAACACAGTCCATGGCAGGGCAGGGACAAGGCAGCAGGCAGCAGGCAGCCCTTTCCCTTTTATTCCATCCAGGCTACAAGCCTTTTGGGTGTTGTCACCCACCTCCAGGGTGGGCCTTCCCTTTATCCACACCCAGAACTATGCCAGACCAATCTCTGGACTAATTTAGTTAATCACACCCTTAATCCATATTCACACACCCTAGATTCAGCCACCTGTGAAAAGCTCCACCTATGAGTGAATGAGGTTTTAGGGGGACACCTAGATAAAAGCCATAACAGTACATAAATCGGAAGTGCATTTATCAATGGACTTTTATAAATATGCATAATTAGATGAATGCATAGTGTTTTTGTCACCCTATAAGGCTCTTATATTCCCACTCCAGGCCACCACTGAAGGCCAGTTTTGTGTACATATATGTATATATGTGAACAGGTCTGAGCAGGAGGATGTCTTTGTGTCTAGCTTATTTTATGTCTGTGAGAGTCGTCCATGTCGTGGCATATAGCAATAGTTGATTCTTTTTCACTGCTCTGTGGAGTTCTGTTGTTTGAAGATGGTCCTCCATAATTGTGAGTTCACATCTGCAGATTCAATCAATTTCAGATTGAAAATATTGTTTTTGGGGCTGGGGATTTAGCTCAGCGGCGTAAGTGCTTGCCTTGCAAGCAGGCAGTCGTGAGTTCGATCCCCGGTACTGATAAAAAGGAAAAAGACACAAAAAAAAAAGAAAAGAAAAGAAAATATTGTTTTTAACTGTGCCTATAATTAACATGCAGACTTTTTTCTCATCATTATCCCCTAAACAATATAGCATAGTATTTACACAGCATTTATATATTAGATATTATAAATAATTTAGAGATGATTTAAAGTATATGAGAGAGTGTGTATAGGTTATTTACAAATATTACATCATTTAAGTAAGACACTTGAGCATCTAAAGATTTTAGTTTCCACAGGGAGTCCTGGAACCCATTCCCTGTGCATATTGAGAGATGATAGAATTACAGTTTACCTATCCATCCTCCTATTGGTGGACATGTGGATTATTTCTAGTTTTTAGGTATCATGAATAAAGCTACTACCATGTGCATATTTTTGGGAATGCAGGATGGAGTATGCATCTTTAGGTTTGGTAGACGGCACTAAGAATTTTCCAAAGTGGTTGTACCTAGAGCCAGGGATTTTGGTACATACCTGTAATCCCAGCACGCTGGAGACTGAAGCAGGAAAATCATTGTGAATTTGTAGCCAGGCTGGGCTACATCAGGAGTTTAAGGCCATCCTGGAATACAGGGGAGAACCTGTTTTAAAAAACAAAAATGAATAAACAAATAAATAGAAATAAAGTGATCGTACCTATCTACTTTCCCACAAGCAGTGTAAGAATATTTTTTTGTTTTGTTTTGTTTTTTGCCATTCTTGGTGTAATGAATCCTTTTAACTTGAGCCATCCTTGTTGGGTCACTGTGGCAGCTCACATTTTAAACTTCCATCCCCTTGATGATGTATGCTGTAGAACTCCTTTTCATGTGCTTATTGGTCCTTGAATTATCCCTTCTCTGAAGTAACACTATGGTCCTTTTTTATCGAGGTATCTTTTTCTTGTTGATCTGTAACTAACTGCGATACTTAAGGAGATCCTCACGTGCGCAGTTACCCCTTCCCTGTGTGCTCTGCCTGTGTGTGCTCTGGTGTATGTAGAGTATTTTCACTGTCCTACAATTCCTAGTATTCCTCCTAGTCATCCTTCCCAAACCTGGTAATCACTGGCTTGCTGCTGTCTCCATAGTTTTGTCTTTTTCAGAATGTCGTGTAGTTGCACTCATATAAACTTATAAAATGTGTGTCAATGTGATAGGCAAAAGTTATATTTTGATTTTGATGTTATGAATTAATATTATTAGTAAGGTTGAATATTTTTCCAATGTTTATATGCTATGTATATCTATACACTTTGCAGTGAGTTGTAAGTTAGTGTTATTTGTTTTTTCTTTCTGGTAGTTAGGCTTTTTAAAACTGACTTTTAAGAGCTCTTTGTATTTGGAAAACTAGCCCCTTTGAGATCTTTTTTATTGTAAATTTTTTTCTAGTTTTTTAAAATGTGTCTGACTTTGTGTAGATGATTTTTTGCTGTGGTTTGTATTGTCAAATGTACCTACCTTTTATTTTATAGTTGCTAGGCAGCAGTTGCTTTTCAAGCACTTGTTGTCCAAGAATTATTGTGCATAAAGGGTCCCTGTGTAAGAATCTTTGTCATGAAAGGAGGAGATATGCTGGGAATAGAGAGGAAGGTTTATAAACCACTTATAAGTGGCCAGAAACCTAAGTATAATTGAGTTAGACAACAAGCAATTTCTTGGCTTACATAAATGGAAAAGTCTGAGCCCAGATGGATCCAAGGCATCAAAACACATCATAGGGGCAGTCTCTTTCACTAGTCTTTCTTGATGGGGGAGCAGAAAAAGCGCCTTTGACCTGGTATCTCTCCAGCCCCAGTTTACACCATTCTTACCTTCTACAGGTCTCACAGAAACTTCTCCTTCCCAGGGGTTCTAGCAAAAGTCTTAGAATTGAGTTCACTGAACCAATTTCAGTTAAGTACTTCCTGGACCAATCACTGTAATAAAATATATTGATTAACCAGCCATGGGGTCATGGTCCAGTCCCTGGAACGAGGACAGAGGCCGGCCAGCTTTACCAGAAAACAAAGATTGGTGAAACCCCAGAGGAACACACAGGCCCCATCACCCGGGTAGAGGAAATGGGCATAGGACAGGTCTACTCCTGCCCCGGGAAGAGGTGCAGGTAGGTGCAGATCCTCAAGCCAGCTGCTGATGTTGTCCTTCTTGCCCTCAGAACCCCAGACTGGAGAAGCCCGTGCTGCTGTCAGAGTTTTCTACCAAGATCTCACGGGGCGAACTGGATGGGCCCATTGAGAATGGCCTCCGGGCTCCGGTCAGCGCCTACCAGTATGCACTGTCCAACGGGGATGTCTGGAAGGTGCACGAGGTGCCTGACTACAGCATGGCCTACAGCAGCCCTGTCGTGGCTGACACCACCCCACCGTGGAGTGGCTTCAAGGAGCAGAGCCCCCAAACGCTGCTGGAGCTGAAGCGACAGCGGGCTGCAGCCAAGCTGCTCAGCCACCCCTTCCTGAGCACCCACCTGGGCAGCAGCATGGCCAGGTCAGGGGAGAGCAGCAATGAAGGCAAGGCACCCTTGATTGGGGGCAGAACTTCACCCTACAGCAGCAACGGGACCTCGGTGTATTACACAGTCACTAGTGGGGATCCCCCACTCTTAAAGTTCAAAGCCCCCATAGAGGAGATGGAGGAGAAAGTCCATGGCTGCTGCCGCATCTCCTAGTCTCCTCGTGTGGAGGAGAGAGATGCCTCGGGGAGGGGTCCCTGGAATCTGGGCTAGTCTGACAGCTCTAGCTGGGGAGGCATCAGAGGGCAGCTGGGAGAGGTGGGCTCTGCTTTCCAGAGGAACACTGACCCACCTCACACCCAGCTGTCCATGCAGCCCCACTTCCCTTGGTTCTGCTTCCTGCTGCATTGTCTGCCATCAGAAACCTAGTGACCCCCACTCATTCTGCTGCCCAATTTGGGGAGTTCAGCTTGGCATCCCAGTTCTATTATGGTAAAGGCTTCCTGGGATCAGTACTTCCATGTCTCACACACACACACACACACACACACACACACACACCACCACCACCACCACCACCACCACCATCACCATCACCACCACCCACACATATTCTCTCTCACAATCATTGCACACATGTAAGGATGACACACTTGGGCTCATGGGAAGCAGGTCAGACTAAACTGTATGGGCTGTTCCCAAAGGGATTGAGGTGAAGAAATCTCAGCACCACTGCCATGCCATTTAAACAGGGGAGACCCACAGTCCTACTTAGAGTCACATCATCCACCACCATCCACACCTGGCAAGGACAAGAGATCCTCTCTGTGTTCAAAGGAGCCAGCAATCTGTGTGAGTTAGATGCGACATGCAAGGCCTGGCCCTGCAGCTTTGCTGAGAACTGCTTTTCTGTCTCACATCAGAAGGCCGAAGCTGTGTGAACCACTGAAGGGCCAGAAAATATCGAGGCAGGAGAGGGGTGCAGCAAAATCAGTCTTTCCAAAACTTCCTTTGGTAAAACCATTCTTTTAGCTAGTAAACTGCAGGTGGAAGGAAACTAAATTTGCCTTCTCCCAGAAGTGTCACACCAGGTTCTTTTGGCTGGTGTTGGAAAAAAGTGAAGCTCAGTGAGGAGCTTTTGCTAGAGTCTTTTTCCTGGGAGAAAGGAGAGTTCACATCTGAGAACAGCAGTGGTTGGCAATGACATAGCCAGGTGCCCTGACCAGTCTTGGCAAGAAAAGGCTGTTTTGATCCAATCCATTTCAGCCAGCCCTCCTCAGTCTGAGCCATCCCAGTCTGAGCCATCCCAGTGAGCAGTTGGGGCCACCTGTGCCCCATTCCTTGCACCTACTGTATCTCTTGTCAGTCATGTGTGCAGAGTTAATGCTCCGAATCCCAAGCTCAGCTTTGCCTTTTCTGGAAAACTTGGGGAGACAAGCTTGCTCTTTTAGTCCTGCCTGCCCTCAGGGCTTCCAGCCTGCTCCTGCTGGTGTTATGACACTACAAGGCTGCGAATCCAGAGTGCCCACAGCCAGCACCCCATACTGCAACAAGGAGAGTAATGGCAGGGCTGGAGGTAGGTCTCACCCCAACCCTCTAGTTCACAGCCCCAGTCTCCCTGATACTGGGGAGGGTGAACCCCTGCCACCTCACTGTTGTATTGTATCATGAGCAACTTAAAAGCTGCAGGTTTGTTCCCTGATCTGTGCACCTTTAATTTGTTCTAAAACTACCTCCTTAGAGTTCTGAAGGGCCCCTTAGGTCCAGATTCTGAGGTGGAGAACAGATCTGGGTGTCCTTTAACCTGCATCTTCTTGAGCCTATGGGAAATTCTCCCTGAATGGCACTTGGAATAGGGCGGGCTTGAACAGGAAGAGTCTTACTTATGCCACAGCCATAGTAATAGGGTCTGCCATTTGGCAGCCTCAGTCCCCTATTGTGGCCTTCTGTGTCCCCCATACTCCAGAGGAAGCAGGACCTTAAGGAGCCTGGCTGATGCTTTACTAGGAGTAGGGCAGCTAGTCCAGAGAATAAGATGGTGGCTGTTGGGGTCACAGGTGGTCTCCCAGCACCAGGCCACCTCCACCCCAACTCAGTGGAGAGACAGTACAGGAAGCGAAATACAGGTATATGTGGTACCAGATGCATCCCTGGGCCTGGGGTGGGTGCTCCATCATCTCAGCCTATAGGTGAAGCATAGATGCTCCATAACATGTGTGGTTTGGCTTTAAAAGTCTTCAGACCTGAGTGGTGCTGAAATGCCCCTGGAGCTGACTTCAGCTACAAGGTGGGAAGTGCCGAGGGCAGCCACATGCTCTCAAGAGACAATATTCCCTGAGGAAAAGGACCAAAAACAAGGCAGGCCTCCAGGCCACTCCTTCTTTCCCTCTTCTTCCTGACTTCTGGGCCTTTACTCTCCACTCCGAGAGCTGGGAATCCCTGCTGATCCCTACCTGATCCCTCTCCCAGGAAATGGCCTCAGATGGAGGTGACCGCCAGGTTTTTAAGTTCATATTTTTCATCAGGGATAAGTGCTCCCTGGTAGGATTTCAGGTCCTTGGGGAGCCTTCCCTGAATATTGAGGGATAAGTTAGAGAAGTTCCAATGAAATTCCAAGGTCAGGGTCATCTATTTATTCACTGATAATTTACTGAGTAGCTGTGACACACCAAGCACTATGTTAGATAAAAAAGGAACAGGACCCAGTGAGAACCCCTCTTTCCAGTTTTCACCCCTTGAGGACCATGGGCATTTGCAGCCTTGCCCAGTTCATCTGAGCAAAGCACTTTTTCAGTTCCTGGAATTCTTAAGTGTGTGAATTCCTTTCTCTAGGAAACAGCTTCATGACCACCCTTGGATAACATTTGCCATGAAGTGCAGGTGCTAGATCTTGGGTTCCAGGCAGACACCATCCCAGGTCCATCTGGAACCTTCAGGGATAGCTGCCTGCAGGGCAGTATCTTGAGGGACAGTATAATAGCAGTCTGAGGTCTGCATGTAGAAGAGTTAAGTAATCTGCCATTTGTTGCCAGATACATCTCTATTGTCTTTTGCTCATTTTTGCTTATCTATTACCCTTACTGCACTCCCTACACATCAAGGGATATTAGGGGAGAAAACAGCTGCTCCTTTTAACATTAAGTCCTTCCCCACAAATCAGCCTCTTTCCGTGGTAGGTGTGGATCAAGGATCTGGGAGAAGCCTGGTAAGGTTGACCAGATTCTCAGCTCCTGCTGTGACCTAGCCTGGTGGCAATTCCTGGCAGATTTTGGAGGCCACTTCCAAAGTAGGTGCCATATTGCTCAGTGTGAGATCTGGCTGTTGTTTCCATCTTATGCCTCAAACCATTGGAAATTCATGGCTATCGTTAGATTGTGAGTTTCTGGCCAGTAGCTCAGGGAATCTGAACTCTAGACCCAGGTCAGCTGAAAACTTTGAAATATAGTTTTCCATCAGGTATGCAGCTCTGCACTGTTTGATCAATTTCAATGGATCTATTGGCTTCAAGGTTAATCGGTGTGGCCCCTGTCTTGGTCCACCAGTGTACTAGCTTTGTAGTAACATGAGATTCTTGGTTCTTGATGTCAGACACTGATCCCGGGCTCCCTCTCCAAGCTGGTCTCCCAGAGCAAGACACAGGAATACTTCGCAGAAAGGGGCTCCTTACAAGTGTCACTGAAGCACTGTATGTAACCTTTGTTATTTGTAGCCTGGGACAGCTTCCCCTCCCCCAGCACACAGAAAAGCAATGGGTCTTGTGATCAGTAGACAGCTCTGCAGAAGTGACTTCCCTTGCCAGAAGCTTTATCCCTCTCCTCCCCAGAAATCCCTTTTTGACCAGAGGGGTTCTTCCCATGGGCATCGCAAGTGCCACGATGCGGGGCCTGGCTCTGCACACCTAGGAAAGTCTGCAGACCTCCAGTCCCCGCAATAACTCACCAGACCAGAAGCCACTGATGTACAGAGAACACTTAAGAAAAATGTATTTTATGTGAAAAAAAAAAGTTAAAACTCTGTATACTGTATCAGCAGCTTTGTGTAAAAATGGCAATCAAGAGAGTCTAATATATTTAAAACTTTTTTTAAAAAATCCTCATGGATCTTTGATATTGTATTGAAGTAACTTCCAGGGAGCTCCTGCCAAGTGGCAGGGGTGGACCTCATGTCCAGGACAGACTTGGGCCACATCCCAAAGGGACACATTCCCCTGGAGTTGCTTCCAGCTGCCAAGGACTGTGATGGAATTCGCTGTTAAGAGTTTTTAATTAAAATTATTAAATTCCTTTTAATAACACCTGCCAGTGTGACTGTGTTTATTGCTGTGAGCTCAGTTGAACTAGGATGACTTGAATTTGCGGAAAGAGTGCTCAGGATGACAGAGGGTAGGTCCATGCCTTCACCATAGTGGACTCTCCCGGCGGCCATTGAAGCAGAGGGAGCTCTCGAGTCTTAGACATAAGGCTGATGTCTCTCTAGACTGGGAGATGCTAAAAACATGACAAGTGCTTGGGAAGGGAAGAAAAAGTCGCCTTCATTTGCCACATACTCCTTTTGAAACTACATGAGGCCTAACAATAGCATATGTGATTAAAATACATAGGGATCATTTAAAACATGATTGCTGGGAAAGACACATTGTCGTTAATCTCCCTCACTTCAAACACACATTCCATAATTTTTGCTACTTTCTGAAGCATTCTGGAAGTCCTCTTTTTTTCCCTCCAAATCCATTTTATTTAGAAAAACAAGAAAAATAATTTCAATGCTCATCAATCAAGAGGCAAAAATGACACATACATTGTACATTGTCATCCTCAAATCATTCACCCAGAGCACAAGACCTCTGCATTCAATTGTCTAAACAATACCGGCGCAAATCTTTCTCTTCAGTGAATTCAGAGAAATCAGTAGGATAACTGCCTTAACTTTTTTTTTATATGTAGACATATTCATAAACCACACACACACGTTCCTTTCAAAGGCTCGCACTGTGACAATACAGTGTTTACACATGTGTCTTACTTATTTCACTAATGAATATGATCTCGTTGCATCCATTTACCTATAAAAATCTCCAGTATACCCTTCTTCGTGGCTGGGTAATACTCCATTGTAGAAAAATACCACATCTTTTCTATTCCTCAGTCAGTGGGCATTTAGATTGTTTCCAAGATCTGGCTGTTATAAATTCTGCTACTATAAGCATGGGTGCACATATTTCACTGTGGTATAATGTTTTTAAATTCTTTTGGCAAGATACTCAGAAGGTGTTGTAGTCAAGGTTTGTGCAGAGAACAATTAGAATCAGGACATGGAATTTATAATATTGTTTATGATGGTCATCCAGAGTTAACACAAGAAACTGCAGGAAATCTATCTGCAGCACTAAAGACAGAATATTTAGTCAAGGGCCTAAATCCCACAGCAATGTCCCACGTGAGTCCAGACGAAAACCCAGAGCTCATGACAATGCCTCTCACGAGTCCAACTGGAGCTCCAGAGCCCATAAGAAGGACTCATGCCGGTCTCTTTTACGAATCCATGCTGAGAAGGCCCAAAGGTCAGAGGTGGAAGCCAGAAAGTCCATGCCAGGGGGTGAAGGAGCTGTGCTGGTGGGATGAGTGTTCTATGCTGGAACCGAGAAGTCACACTCACAATAAAGACGTTGTGGTGCCCCTGAAGGGCACCACAGCCATCCTCAACGACACAGAGGCCCTGAGCTCCTTCGACGACAATCACAATCGAGTATCTGCCAGAAAGCCAGCCGCTGCTTGGTCCTGGAGAGCAAGCGGCACTCATCTTCCCCTCCAGAGCCAGGAAGCAATGCTTGATGTGAGGACCAGAGTTTCTCCAGGAGAACCAAATGGCTCAAACAGCAACACATAGAAGAATCCACAATGCCACAATGCACTAACGCCCTCCTTCTCCCTCTCTACCTCTCTATTATGCTGGCAACTTTCCTCAGGTGGAGCATCTACGCTCAGAGTCATATTGATGTAATCCAGCTGGCGTTAGGCTGACCACCAGTTCTTAATCCATAACAGAAAGGGAGTAGCTGGGTCGGATGGGACCTCTAGTCCTAGTTTTTTGAGGAATCTCTACACTGATTTTCAGTGGTTGCACCAGCCTGCATTCCCACCAACAGTGGAGAAGGGTTCTTTTTTCTCCACGGCCCCTCCAGCATCTGTTAGTGCTTGACTTCTTGGTTATTATCATTTCATTGTCATTCTTTCTGGGGATGAGGTGGAATCTCAATGCTGTTTTAATTTGCACTTCTCAAATGTCCAGTGATGTTGAACATTTTTTCACATATTTATTTGCGATTTGTATTTCTTCATCTGAGAAGTGTGTATTCATGTCACTTGCCCATTTTTGCATTGGATCTTTAAATTTGAGAGGATTGATTTTTTTGAGTTCTTTATATGTTTTTGATAGTAATCGCTGGCAAACATTTTCTCCTATGTGTGAGTTATCTCTTCACTCTGTTGGTGATTTCTCTTGCTGTGCAAAAGCTTTTCAAGGGTGAGATCCCAGTGGCTGATTCTTTGTGATAGTTCCTATGCATTTGGGGTTTTGGTTCATAAAGTCTTTGCCTACAGCAATGTCTTCAAGAGTTTTACCTATTCTATCTTCCAGAAGATTTAATGTTTCTGTTTTATATTAAGATCTTTGATCCATTCTGATTTTAGCTTGGTACACGATGAAAGATATAGGTCTAGTTTTAATCTTTGGCAAGTGTAGCCAGTTTTTCTAGCACCATTTATTATAAGGCTATCTTTCTTTCAGTGAATGTGTTTGGCACTTTTGTCAAAGATAAGGTCGCTTAGTGTGTCTGGAGTTATTTATGTATCTTCTAGTCTGTTCCACTGATCTTTGGGTCTTTGTTTATTTTCCAGCACCCCACTGTTTTTATCACTGTAGCTTTATAGTATAATTTGAAGACAGGGATTGTGATGCCTCCTGTCTTGTCTTTGTTGCCCAGAATTACCTTTGCTAATCTAGGTCTCTTCTGGTTCCAGATGAATTTTAGGATTTTTTCTCTGTGAGATATGCTATTGGAATTTTGATTGGGACTGCATTGCATCCATATAACAGTTTTGGATGTATGGCCATTTTCACTATTCCTTCTTCCTTCCCAAGAGCATGGGCTATCTCTCCATTTTCTAACATCCTCGTCAATCTCCTTTTTCAGAGTGCTGCATTTTGAATGTAGGGGGAGAGTCCTCTTTCATGAGTGTGTTTACAAGGTATGATTGAAAATGTGGTGAATGCAACTGCAGAATCCCATATAATGGAAAGGCAGGCTTGTAAAAATATTATGGTATGTCCTCATCTACCTAGTTCACTGAATCTGGCACTGTGAAACTTCTGGCTTTTCCTCAAAGTCAAAGAGCTCGTGAAAGATAAGTGTTTTGAATCGATTCAGGACATCAAGGTAGCCACAACAGAGCAACTAAAGACATGAGAGAGAACATAAGAACTGCATCAGAAGGCGGCAAGAACATAAGGATAAATGTGTTCAAAGCAAGGGAGAGTATTTGAGAGGAATTAATGTCAATGTGTCTTTTACTGTAATAAAAAAAACTTTTAAAAATTTACACATTCACTGTGTAATTTTTTATCACACCTCATACATGTAACAAGGGCACCTACTCGTACTCTGTTCCATTCTTGAAGTGCACTGGTTTGTCCTGCCTCTCCACTAACCCCTCTTGTTTTTCTCAATTAGCTTGTAGTGCAGAAGTACAATACCTCATCTTATAACAACAAAACAGGTGAAGCCCTGATGATTCTCATTTTTTATATTGGGCAAAGAGCCATAGATAACCTCTGCGGTTGCACAGCCACAGAATATAGATTTGTTCTTTTCACATGCAGAAGTTTGTTGGTGTCTTTAAAGAGGATACAAGTGCTTGGATGCTGGATGCCAGACTAGGCACACACAGAAGACCCCACACTTGAGTTTGAAAAACTTCACAAATAGACCAAAGAAGGGGAAAGAATGGGAAGAGAAAGAGAGGTGTCTTAGCAGTAGTGTGTATTCACCCACTTCAAAATGAAATTTCCTGGCTGCTAAATAATAACAGTGAGACTCACCTTTATGAAGTACTTCACAGTTGTGTATAGGCCCTCTCATTCACACAAAGAAGATGAAGCATTCAAATTTACTGCTGGATTTAGCATTGTGAAGGATTTTGGTTGAGCAGGAGGGATATTCGTCTGAGTAGAGAACATTCAAAGAAGAACTAGAGGAAAACTGGAGACAAATATAGACTTCTGATTTGGGGTTTTAGTTGTAAAAGTGAACAGGAAATGTGGAGGTAGCTCTAGAGGACTGTAGGGCTAAAAAGGATTGTTTTAATATGAATAATACTTGAGCATGATTGTATGGTATTAGAAATGAATCAATTAAAAGAAGTTTAGGAATCAGGAGAAAGGAGAGAATTGCTGGAGAGATACATGTTGGTAGTCAGTGGGTCAGGTGGATACTTAGCTGCACATAAGATGGAAATCTGACATGGGCTGAGTCTTGAGCTAGCTGCAGAATGTCACTGTGGTCAGCTGTCTCATTCAAGGTCCTCTAAAGTAGTTCTCTTTTTAGCCAATCAGTTGAGAGTTTTTGCTCAATTTGAATAAAAATCGTGAATTGACAAAACTGTGGCTCTTTTTCATATGAACAGCCCTGGACTTTGAATGCCAGCAGCTATCTGCTCTTTGGGGGCCTCTTTGTCATTTGGAGCCAACACCTCCCAGCAGGCCTTAGGAACCTTTTCAGTTGTCATAGATGGCACCTCCAGACAGTTCTCTATTATTCATTTTCATTCTTGGCTCCTGGCTGCATTCAGTATTACCAGCTCCAGCAGCTGGCTGCTTTCATAGCCAGCAGTCTCTGATGCGACCTGGGATAGGTCTTGGGAAAGAAATCACAAATAGTAAAAAACAAAAAAACTATGCCACTTGGAAGAGGCTTTAATAACATTAAGAGGACTTAATGTTGTAGCTTAAGGGGGTCAGTGATAGACGGGACTTGCTAAGGGTATAGGGAGGTTGCTTACATAGAAAAAAAAGGTACGGTTTGTGTATGCACAGTGTCAGGCTTAATCTTTCTGTTTTATCATGGGTGGCAGAGGGGTTCTTTGTAGACCTGAGGAGGACTGCAGGGCTGAGTCATCTGGGGTAGGTCACAACTGAAGTAGGCTGCAGCCAAACCAAATCTCTCCAAGAGTATCTGTGAAGGTGCCAGAGAAACAAAGTGAAAGAAAAGAAAGTGAAGCGTCTAATTGAAGTGATTATTATCATAATGAACCAGTATTTTTTCAAGGAACCAACGAGCCAACAAATGAACGACGGCATGGAGGATATAAAGGCAAAACTGTTGGTCACACTCAAGCTTTCAGAGCTCAGGAAACGCGTGGTCAATGTGCCCAGGAAGAAGTGCCAGCCTGTCAGCCCTGCCTAGACCTGACGGCCCCGGGCCTCAGAGGGCCGCGCGTGTGGCCAGCAGAGGGCGCACAGGACTGGCCAGGGTCCGGCCGGCGGAGCTCCACCACCCCGGCTTGCTCGGTCCTTCACGCCCAATTGCTCTCTCTAGCCTGACTGCGCAGAGCGTGGTTTCCAGTAGGTGCAGAGTAGTCATGGCTAACGCAGGCACAGCGAAGCCAAAGTTAAAATTCGCCAGGGAAATCAGAGTAGTGAGGATCACACCCCTGGTCAATACAGCTCGTGGAGTCGCAGCCAATAGCAATCGGGGGCGTGACCAGCTGGGGAGGCCGTCCCATCACCCCGCCCCGCCGTTGGGAGGCAAGTAACCAATGGGAGAGCTGAACGACAGCGGTGGCCAATGGCGCGGGCCAGTTTGATTCAAAGGTTCGTATAAAGCGGCCTGCACTGCTACCCCGACAGAGCGTGGTCCGGTGGAACCACTACAATGGCTCTGCGACCCGAAGTCCTGGACGAGTTACCTGCCTGCTGCCTGTCGCCATGCGGGCCGCCCAATCCCTCCGAGCTGTTCAGCGAGGAGCGGCGCCTGGCCCTCGAGGAGTTGGTGGCTGGCGGCCCCGAAGCCTTCACGGCTTTCCTGCGGCGCGAGCGCCTTGGCCGCTTCCTGAACCCCGACGAGGTGCGCGCTGTACTGCACTCGGCCCAGCGGCCCAAAGAAGAGGGCGCGGCGGCGGCAGTCGAGGACTCGTTCGGCTCGTCGCACGACTGCTCGTCCGGCACCTATTTCCCCGAGCAGTCCGACCTAGAGCCTCCGCTGCTGGAGCTCGGCTGGCCGGCCTTCTACCAGGGCGCCTACCGCGGCACCACGCGAGTCGAGGCGCACTTCCAGCCCCGCGGCGCGGGTGCCGGCGGCCCCTATGGCTGCAAGGATGCGCTGCGCCAGCAGATCCGCTCGGCGCGAGAGGTGAGCGGCCGCACGGGGCCCCACCATTATCGGGCCGGAGACCCTCTTCACGAGTGAGATTGAGGGCTGCTGGGAGGCGGGCCGGGCCCACTACCTCCTTCCTGGTCGCCCTGCTTTAATGGACCCAGGTCCTCCACTCGTCCTATTCTGCAGGTCTTCATTGGATCCTGGATCCCCTTGGTCGCTCTGGCGACAGGTGAAAGTGGGGAGTTTCGACCCCAAGGGTGCAAATGTGCCTTAGTTCCAATATTCGAATCCCTGGAGGAGGGACCAGAAGAACTTTAGTTAAAATTATCATTTAAAACCAAACTGGTTTGCAAAATTATCCTGAGCCTCAGCCAATATGAGATCCCACATTCAGCAGCTTCTTGGACATATTACAAAAGAGCGTGTGATCTAGGGAAAAATTTCTGAAAGATGGGCCCCGGAGACAACTGTGGTGCATTGGGAGTCAATTATTGCTAATTTACTTTACTTCCACTTTTCTTACGTTGCAGAAAGAGGATTAACACAAGGGTGGCAAAGTGACAACCCTGTCTCTTTGCCTATGCAAGGACTGATGGAAAAGTTGGGGTGGGGGGCTTGTTTTCGTAAACTGGGGCTGTTACAGATAACAGTGACCTTCTAAAATGCAGACACCCCTGCATTAGATGGGCATCCATCCACAGTGGGTTTTGTCCTGCTGTCTTAGTGTGGCACAGTAGAGGTACCGCAGAAGACCTTGCCCAACTGCCAGCAGGGTGCTGGGCATCAGGGAGGAGGAATGCTGCACTAAAGTTAGGTGTGGCAACAACTTTAGTCCAGAGCTAAGGTCTGCTCACTTGCTTCCTGGCAGTGCTCAACTTGCTGGCCTTCAGGCTATGCCAGGTACATGGTAAGCAAAACCCCCAGGCTGCTGAAAGACTCAGAAGGCCACCTAGGATTGTGGGTGAAGGCACCTGTGCACCAAGAACAAGCCTGAGTTCCTGATGGTGGTTTTTTTGCCTGCCTGGTGGGGCTGTAGTGGGAGAAGATACAGCGACCTAGGCCTTGCCTCTGTGGGAGTGGGTGCAGGCTTTGGCTAGGCTGGTGTCACCCTTGTGCTTCGGATGATTTAAGGTCCTTTTGAGGCTGCAGACATTTCACTTATGGGTTCATAAGAAGGTTAAAAACGATGGAAAAGGCCTAGTTGCTGGTGTAGGTTCAAGTTCCCAAAGCTCTCCTCCAGGAGGCAAACTTGAGCCCTTGGAACCTGTGACAAGTAAGAATAGGTCATGGATTGCTTCATCCCAAATTTTAATGTTAGTGATGGGGCACTGGAGCTGGAGGCCAGGTACAAAAACTGTCTGTAAACTTGCTGGCTTTAGAGGGGTTAAAGCTGGACTCTCTGTTCCTTCCTTCTGTCCCATAGGCATTTTGTGATATGTTCATTCCTGGATAGAGAGGTATAAGCTGTTTTGTGCTCTAATCTCTTTAATACACTCTTCTCTCCCAGATTCTATATTAGGACCCTGAGCAGTTTTAACTGAGAAAGTGGTACATTATCTTTAAATCAAACATATATTTTCAGCATATCTAACACATGCCAAGCTCTTTGCTTATTCAGTGCCCACTGTGTTTCACTACCTCAGCTGGGGCCTCATGGAAAGGCATGATCCTTGTCTGCTTCAGAGTGGTCACTTTGTTGGTAGGAAGGCGTGATGAGGTTGTTATTGGCAGTGAAGGGGAGCTGAAAAAAAGTCTCAGGAGTGGTGGTGGCCTTGGAGTTGGATCCAGAGGATGCATGGAGCTTGCCCAGTGGGAAGGGGCCAGATTTGGCACTTTGAAGGTGACCAGATGCTCCACAACTGGAGCAGACATTACGTGAAAGTTATTGGTAGGAGAGGCACTGAGGAGGGAGATAAAGTCTCTGCACCTACTGAAAGGGAAACAGGGGACATTAAAGGTTTAGGAAGCAGGGGGCATGATCAGATTGGTGTCCTGAGTAGTAATTCCTACAGGAGCATGGGAGTGGATGGGTTTGAGAGAAATGAGCCTGGTGTCCAGGGCAGCTGTAAGGAGGCCAGGAGGATCTATGTAGGAGTAGAAGATCTGTGCTAAGAGTACAGGTAGGAAGAACTGACAGTAGTTGACTCAATGGACTGGAAGAGAGGGGACAGGAGAGGGAGGTATAGGAAGAATGAAGAGGATTGAGATTTTGCCTTGAGTAGGCATCTATGCTACTAAACTTCGATACAGGAAGGAGAGTACTGTTGAAACCAAAGGATGTGGACATAAGTTGGATTGAGACATGGCTGGGATTTGAGGGCTCAGAGGCCATGTCTTCTGTAAGCAAACAAATAATCTTACAGCTTCGCTACCAGATGGTATCCTAAGTAATCACAAAGTAGGTACAAATATTATCTCCACTTCACAAATGATAGAGCTGAGGTACAGAGAAGCTACGTTGCTGAGAGATCATACAGCTAGGAAGCATGGAGCTGGGACTCAGCCTAAGGCAGAGCCTCCTAACCACCATGCTTTGTTGGTACCCTGTGGAGAGGAGTTGCCCCTGTCTTCAAGGAGCTCACTGTCAGGCAGACAGAGGCCTATGGTTGGAAGGTAATTAAAGGCTGAGCTGGTGACCATGGGTGCTGTTATCCTGCAAGCTGTACTTGTGCACACAGGAGTGGCTGTGTCCCTTTGATCACAAACTTTGAAATCCATTACCTGTGACAGCAAAGACCATGAAGGTACATGTCTCAGGTTGCTTTGAGGATGAAATAAGAAGTCTTCATGCATCTGTATTCAGATCACGAACAAACTTTAGGTTGATATGATTGAGCGCTTTGCAGCTTGAGTTTCTGTGTTTCAGCTGCATTATCTCACTTTACCCTTCAACCCTGGGAGGAGGCCACAGTTAAAGAGAGACCAGGCACAGAGAAGTTGAGTAACTTGCCCAAGATCAAAGTATGAGGCTCAAGCCCAAGTGTACACGTGATTCCAAGACTCACACTGTTAATCCCTACTCTGCACAGCCTCCCTGCTATGAGGAGCAATTGGTAGTTGGATAGTTTTCAACTGGCTCCAGGTTGGTAACAGTTTCTTAAAGATCTGGACTTTTGATGTCCATGTTGTATGCTTTCTAATAGTACTTGACAGTTCCCTTGTGGGGAAGCCTGGAGGGCGGACCAGCTCTAAGAGGAGGAGGCATTATTAAACTAACAAGAGACCTTCCTCAGCTAGGGAGGAAAATGTTCATGACTCCAAGAACGTACAAATTCTGGACTTCAGGTTTTGTAAATTTGCACGCATTTTGCCCTACTTGGGGAAGGTAGAAACAGATATTTTGTACCTGAAGCAAAGAAATATGTGGAAGTCTTTGGTGGATGAATAAAGTACTTTCAATTTCATGTGAAGGATCCCATGAAATGACAGAGGACCAGGCTGCGCTGCAGCAGGGTCACTCCTAGGGGTGTGTATCTTTACTTGCCTTCACTGAAAAAGATCGAGAACCAACCTACATTTATTTTCCGGTGTGACTCTGCAAGGATCAGAATATGGGCAGAGAAGGACAGGGTCACTTGGAACATGGCAAGACCTAATCCTGACATTGTGGCTTGAATGGATGGTTCTGGGATAGATTTTACCCAGTAGCTGTCTGACCACACAGAATCGTGCAGGCTTGTGACACATAAGGAGTGTTCAGTATTATTCAGCCTCATGTTCTCGGGAGCTGGGGCAAGTGAAGGAGAAGGCAGAGGTAGGAAGGACAGCAAAGTAGGTGATTCTGTTTTTCTTTCTACGCAAGTGGTATTTATCCCTGGGTGGGCACGAGGACTGTGAATCTGCCAGCCCTCCCTTAGCTCAATTTATATGGACCTTTCAGAGTGAGGTGTCCTGCTGCATTAGTGAGGTACATGATAGATGTAAACTATGGCTTGAAATTAAGCCGATCACTTTCCTGATACTCACCTGAGCAAAGTCAAACGAGATACTGTACTAGACCTGGTATGTGTTTGTTTTCTAAGGAATTTTTAGGATGGTTTTGAACTATATAGGTTTTTTTCCCCTGTGCATGTGCTTTAAAATCTACCCCTACCCTACTGTATCTATTGATGAATCATTTAGTTCTTTGTCTTTGTTCCCATCCCAATCAGAGCGTGGTGGAGCCGTGGTCTTCTCCCTCAAAGCACTGCCTGGCTTCATTTGATGATGTGCTTTGCTTTGCACTTGTCCAGCTATTCCTAACTTTTTTTTTTTTTTTGAGATGTGGTTTAGCTGTGTTGCCTAGGCTGATCTTGAATGCACAGGCCTCTTACCTTACCCTTCCTGTTAGCTGAAATTGTACTCACCCACCACAGCGCCCAGCATTTCTTGTCTTTTTTTTTTTTTTTTTTTTTTTTTTTTTTTTTTTATGGAACAGAGGATTGAACTCAAAGCCAACCCTAGCACTTTTAATTTTATTCTGAGACAGGGTTTCACCGAGTTCCCAAACTGGCCTTGGATATGTGGTCCCTCACTCTCTCCAGGCTTCTGAGTGGGAGCCCCCAGGCTAAGCTCTCAGAAGGTTCCGTGCATTTCATGAGTTTACTCCCAGCTGACATTCCTGATGTGCTTTAGTTCCAAAGAGACCATTTCTGCGGTGATCTCATCCTTAGGCATTGTTTTGATAACCAAGCACTAGTGGTGGCAATCTTGGCTTAAGAGTCCTGTGGGAAGAAATAGCAGCAGAGGAATCTGTTGGAGGCCACGTATGGTGTACATGAGGATGTGTTGAAGGCTCTCCTGATCTTGCTCAACTGTCTTCTGCATTACAGTGGCACCTGGGCAATGCCGTCAGTTGCTGTCCCCAGATGTCTGGATCAACCCAGAGAAGACTGATTTCTCAACTTTGCCACCGTTGGCATTTGGGATGGGATAAGTTTGTTTTAGGGGGCTGTCCTGCGCCTTGTAGTGAGGCAAGATAAAAGAAACAAAGATGGGTGAAAAAAGGAAAAAAGGAAATCATAACTTAAAAAATTGCACTTTGAATACTCCGT